GCAGGGCTATTCTACCAGTAACAAAATAATTAAATGGGACTTTTTTTTCGTAGTTCTGCATCAAAATTCAAGTTTCATCATTTAATCTATTTAATTTATTTCAGTGTCACCCTCAGCAGTCATGTTTAAATGGGAATTTCACTGATTATTACCGTCACTTTTATTTTGTCCTTGCATGCAATATTGTGTTGAGGCTCATTAGATTTAGAATCAATTTAGATTCATGGTGCCTGCTTAAATGGTGAGACAGAAGATAAATAAAATCATCCACCTCTCCACTGGTGTCTGGAGGCTTTCTTGCCTTCTCTTTTTCTTGTGTTATCAAGGAATATAAACAACACCGGTTTTTTGTTTGTCTTGCAGAGGCACTGAATGAGTTGTAGAATCAGAGATTAGCGTGAAGGTGCGCGGAGTCTATGACAGCATTAAGGCAGCTGTGTGTTAAGCCAAATTATCTTTTAACATTTAAAAGGAGCGTCTTCACCTCAGCGTGATGTCCTCACCATTGAATCTATCAGCTCCATTCAGCCCTGTTAGCTTTGATTGAGGCCTGTGCTATGAGCTGCTATTCATGTCCAACCGTCTATGTAAACAGAAAAGTGTTGTGACGGTGTGCGCGTGTGTGTGTGTGTGTGTGTGTGTGTGTGTGTGTGTGAGTGAGTGTGCTGCAGCCATTTAGACAGAGGTTTAGCAAGCACAATACTCCTTCTCTGCTGTCTATTTTTCACTCTTTCTTTTTCTGTCCATGTCACACATTCTCTGTATCATGAACACACACACACACACACACACACACACACACACAGCGAGTCAGACCTATGGAGGATCAGTCATGGTAGAGGTCGTCTATGGGGCCGACTTGACATTGTTGTCTTTAAGCTGCTTTGGAGCAGGAGAAGTTTAAAGGACAATTCCAAACAGTTTGTACAAGAAAAGGCTCTCTCACATATAGCTGGGTGTCAGTGAACCAGGCTTTGTACGGGAGGGGGGGGGGGCGTCAGTTCATTCTCGGTTCAACCCTTTCCAAATGTGAATAGAAACCGCAATTGATTTGCTAAAGATAGAGTATTCACTCTTAATAAGATGGCTATAACAACCTTGTCCTTCTCAATATTGGAATGTTTGGAGGAAAAGTGGCTTCCTAAATTGATTAAACTGAAGGTGAGCTGGAGCCAGCCGTGCAGGATGTTGTTTTATGCTGCGGAAAGATGATTTGAGATAAATGCGATACAGCTGTTTATGTCAGTTTTGTTGCTTGAAATTGTTGAGGCTAACCAAATTATAATTATTGAATGAGTGGAAATATACGCTCAGTCATTTATTAAATTAATCTGAATGTAATCAGTGCTCTCAGGAAGCACTCTCGTCATCTCATAGGCTGCCAGTGTCACTGTCATCTTTTGAAACAATGTTTTTACATACAGACTTTCACAGGATTTAGTTTTACAATTTAAATCACATCGTACCTGCCTGCCTCAGTTTCCTGTATATGTAACATTTCCATTTATTTTTTATGTTGTAAGGGAATTTCTAATCTCAGTATTTTTTATTTTATTGTCAATGTTTTAATGATATGTTATTGCTTGAATTGTCAGATTAAAGTGGCCAAATAATATTAACCAGCGATTGTTTTCTTTAACGCAATAAAAAAGACAGTTAATGATTATTGTTTAGTTAATAAATATTGTTTATTTCCCACTTTTCCGCTCCTATCAGACATTGAACAGCTGCTGTAATGTGCAGTACTGGCTGGCATCATTTTATTATAGCAGGATTTATGTTCTCTCTGTCAAACTAAACCACATCTGCTGCACCCTGAGTGAAAATCACTGCACTATTTGAAATTGCACGTCCCCTGTTATTCCCCATCAAACTAACATGTACACTCTTTTGGCTTGTTAAAAATTATTCCTTAGTTTGTAATGATATGACCGTAATAATGACAGTAGTTTGGGACGTGCTGCGTATGTGACACAAATGGCATATAAATCCAGATGTGACTGGCTTTAATGAGCAGCTGTTGACGATAATCCAGCTGATAAACGACTTTTAGAAGCTTTAAACCCTTCAGCTCCAGTATCTCTGCATGTGGAGTTTAATTTTGAACATGACATCATGAGATGTAATGAAATATCAGGGAGCAGTGTGGTAGCTTAGTGAACCAGCTGCATATTCACAGTGTCATGTTGATTGAAATCCAGGGCATGGCCTCCCTCTCCCTCCGCCGCTCTTGTATTTAATAAAACAGAAAAAAAGTGGCATATAAATTATCTTTAAAACAGCGGTGAGCACAATCTGTGGCCTCCCCTGTCCATAGGCTCGCTGTGCCAGTAGTCATGTTTTTGCTGTGCAGTAACGGAGTGATGGATACAATGCAAGAAGTCTCAGCATGATTTTACAGGTAGCTCTCAATGCTAACACGTCACACAGCTGCACTGTGCAACTGTGAAAAGCTGTCATTGGGTTTCAGCTGTTTCAGACTCTCAGACCCTCAATTTCCTCTAGCAGAAATCGGTATGAGTGCTGCCTCTCTGTCTGCACAGGATGGATGCGGGATGGAGGACTTTTACCATGGCAACCACTAATGCAGTATAGATGCAGGGACTGAGCCTTGGCTGCCGTTGTACTAATACAGGATTCATGGCAGGCAGGTGAAATGTCATCCGGGCTGTTGTTTTAAATGAGCAAGTGGTGCTTTTGATGTCTGGTGTGGTCAACTCTAAATCCCACTTGGCTCTGCTGTGGAAATGAGGCTCCTGTATTAGTTCAGCACCACAGCATCCTTTCTGTTCACTTTCCTTTCAGCAGTTTTTAGACGACAAAAGAATCTCTCCTCCAAATGGCTTCCTATATTGCATTATAGCACCACTCAATTTTTTATGTCAGCTCTGCCAATATTGTCAAGTGTCTCCTTCACATTGTTTCCTATATCGGCTTATACTGCCCAATCCTCGTAATCCCATTGTAGTCTGAGTCAAATATCTGGTTCCTGCAGTGTCCTCTCACCTTCTTCTAGGATGTGATTTCTGTATCCTCCTCGTCCTCCTCTCAGCACACTGGATTACAACCGAGCAACTTTGAAAAGTGACACCTAGCAGGTTAGCAGGGAGTTTTGATTAAAGTAACTGTCTGGTTGATAACTGCTCATGTTTTTGCCGTCTGAAAAAATCGTAATAATTTCACCACTGTATGTTCTGTGGTGAATAAAATGATGTTTAGATGATGCAATGTTTGCATGTCGTGTGTAAAAGAAATTCACAGTGCGCTGAAACATGCAGTATGGCAAACTAAATAAACTAGAAGATATGGAGATGTAGTGTTGCTTCATAGTTGATTTAATCCATATTTTTGTGGATAATTCATTTACATTGTACATGGAATACACTAGGCCTCATTTCTCTTGTTTTCCCAGTCAAAATCAGTGAAATCTAATATTACATTCATAACCAAACTGGATATTTTATCCTGAGAAATGAGTTCAGATTGAGACATCCACAGCTCAACAGTTTCTTAAAAAGAAATAATGTTTGTTTTGCCCTGCTGTGTGAGACCCATTTTGCAAGAAGGCCATAAGTCACAACCCTCTACATGAGAGTGAGTCCAAAACAAACATTGCTTCCATGTGGCCCTGTCTTCAGCGCTTCCCTGAGCTGCGCTGCTGTTGCCGTGTGCATGTGTCCCTGTGTGTGGGGGGGTGTTTGTTTTGTCTGCCCCTATCTATAGCTCTGTCCTGCCCCTTTCTTTCACAGACAGAGAAAGGAACCACACCCCTCAGGCCTTGGCCTAGTGTATGTGTGGGTGGTGTTTCGCTCTCTTGGGATTTGGGGATTTGTACTGCAGTCTCTGTTCCTCAGCATTAGCTGTACAACACCAAATACATATACCTCTGCATAATAACATGATCATAGGAAGTTCTATTAGAGGTATCATTTGCATTACATAAAGGTACACAGGCACACATACAGTATATATACAATAAATTCCCACATTTGGGCACACACACACTGCTATATCCTTTCCTACTCTTTGTACACACAGTGCACACACACACACACACACACACACACACACACACACACACACTGTATTTACACATAAAGTAAAGAACATGGTACAAACATATGTCAACACAAGCCTATACACAGACATAAGATTATGCACATATACACACATGCGTATGTAAACACACCGAGCTGGCTTTAGCCAATAAGAGCAGAGCTTGAATGTGACCTGTGCTTCCCTTGTGAATATTAACCCCCAGGGAGAGCGAAACCTACCTGTTTTTACGTGATTGTGTGTCATTCCTGTTATCCCGGGTACTGTGTTATCATGGGCTCGTCCTCTGTCGAGTGAGAGCAGACAGCACATACAAATGCATGCAGGTTCCTCGCAAGCATGCGTTAAGCTGGATGAGCACACGAGTCAGTGTAATTGTTGGTTCTGTCAAGGTGTGTGCGTGTGTGTGTGAGGTGCAAGCATGCAACAATGTATGTGTGTTGTGTGTGCGCTGGTCTGTATTCTAATTTTTTAATCTGCTTTTGCACGTTTCTTTTTTAAAACTGTAAGACACACATGGAAAACACTGTGTTGGACCATTTATTCAGTCAATATTAAAACTCTGATAGTGTTTTAAAATGAGAATATTCTTAGACCAGCTCCATAGATAAATTATAAAAGATGAAGCCTCATCTTGAACAGGTTTAGCTGATAACTTTGATGTTGGATAGGAGCCAAACATTAATTGAGTCACTATATTAAATACATCTAGAAATCGATTATAACATGTCCTTCAATGCAAGCTAGCATTTGACACATGTAGTGACTACTTAGTGTAGATGTGTTTTGCATTCTATTGTAAATCAAGTTTAATATTTTACAGGATTTTTATGAACCACATTTATTTACATGCAAACAAATTTGTCACTACAATTCCAGTATGCTTTTTCTAAAACACGCTGTGTTGATGTCCATACCAATCTGTGTTTATCAATAAATTGCAGGTGTAAATACTCGTCCAGTGAACGCCTCATGCTGCCACGATGGAACACGGATCCAGCTGGAAGAACAAGTGCTGTGTGGGTTCCCTGAAGTGGTGCAACACTGGGTCACTGGAGAGCCACAACGTGTTTGGGAACAGAACAGTCTGTGTTATTTCAGCACAGCCTGTTGGATGAAGGGCCATTTCACAGGCATTATGGATTAATCTTTGGCAGGATCTCCCCAGGATCAAACAAAACTGGATGTTTAACCTCACGTGTCCTAGAGCTGAGAGGTCTCTTGTGATAAACCAGGATAGGGAGGATTGAGTCTGACCCACATTGGGTTAAACATCACATACTTGTAAATTTATTTGAACTGACTCCTTATGAAAAGATGAAAATATAATGTGTATACACATCCTTCCTCAGACGTAATCCAAACCCTGAGAAATGATTAAATTCATAACATTATGCTCCACTAGTGCAAAAGAAGACAGTGAGAGGCCTCTGTCATCTGTGTTTTACACAAATCTACTTCATTATTTTTGTTATAAATAAAATACAAATGAATATACAGTGGTGTTGTGGTTTCTACACATCCCCCTTTTCACTTGATGTCTAACTACTCCTCTACGAACAAAAAACCCCAAAGCATTTTAAGACTTTTGTGCAATCCATGCGATCACCTAAAGTCCTGCTCAGGTAAGAAGTGACCTTTTTAAACATACTCCCTTCCTGTTCATATCAAGTACACAGATTTAGAGCTGCATCCTGCCATCTCTTCCCTCACTTGTTACAAACTGTTTGTTGTATTGGGCTGAGTGTAGAAATATAAGCAAGTTCAGTGTGACAGGAGCAGTGATCGATGGGTCCAAATTTAACAGCACAATTTAACAGATTAGACTTCAGGAGGATTTTCACAGGCATTAAATCAGATTTATAACCCTGTGCTCTTAATCCAGGCCCAGTGGTCACAGATGGTCACAAAACTAGTCCTCACTAAAACTTTATTGTAACTAAAGTCCAATTCTGTAACTGCAGTGTTGCATCATGTCTGGAAACACTTTCAATCCGCCACTGTCTTTGTTTAAAGGGACATATTTCAACATGATTTATTCATGGGGCTTTTGCTACAAGTACAGACATTGTGTGACAGAAATAACATACAGTTTGAGTTATAAATAAATGTATCACAGAGAAATTTATGTTTGAAAGGCCTGTAAAAATGGAGTAAAAGACATCTGCATTCTGATTTATGATGGTTTAGCACAGTTGGGAAATACAATATGAATACAGTCGATAGAAATGAAACATGCTCTTCTACTCAAATAAATGCTCTTTTGATTTTTAGACATTTGGGTAAGCAGTATTTCACACATAGCCACTTCTTTTATGAAGAAATGTATCTCTATTCAGACATACAGTTTTATAATCATATTTTTTTGCACCCACCACAGCAAGTGTTTGGTGTTAAGACTTGTGTATTGGAAAAGTTTGAGGCTGAGTTGCTTCAAGGGCAGTCTTAAGTATTGAGAGGAGAATAGTTTGTGTCTTATTCAACTCAGATTTCTACAGCCATATTTGAAATGCAGACCAACAAACTACTGCTCCTCCACTGATACTTATTGGAATATAATCGAAGTATCTGCATCCCAGAGTATTATGTCATCCTGTTTTCTTGAAGTCACTCGCTGTGCCATGAATTTGTACCTGTTTGGTTATATCAGCATGCTCCTGTGAAATCACATGACTGCATGAACGCAGCCATTTGATTTCACAAATCATGGCTATATATCCGAGTGACTGACAGCAGTAATTCCCACTGTGGTTTGAAAGCCATTCAAAATCAAATCAATCACTCTCAGTTACTGTAATTTCTCCATGTTGCAATCTAATGACACAGGGTGGACTCATTCCTGGTGATGTGTCACATATTGTGTATTCTGGCTGTGTTGATATAATTCCCGTTTATCCCATCCAGGGACTGCTGCATTGACTGTTTTGAATTAGAGTTTGGCTTTCAGTAACCTGTTCCTCCCACATACTGTAAATAACGGTTAATGAAATAGCCTGTAGGCAGATGGCAAGGGAGGATTTTACCTTTATCTTCCCGTGACATTGATAGCTGTAGAATGAAGGGACAGTATAAAGGTAGCATAGTCTGCTCTCCACCTTTCATAACACAGAGATTAAGGGACCAAACACTGACGAGAGGACCTGTAATGCATATTTAAATTTCCTATGTGGCCTATCCACTAACTTACTCATAATTGAACCAAACAGAAAGTCATCTGAAAATTAATAGCCACAACTCTGTGATCTCAGAATAAAGTGGAGATCACACTATTCACTTGAAGGACCTCAGTGATGCCCATAGATCACTAATAATTTTAATGAATGAATCTGCTTTTTAATTAAGTCAAGAAAAATGGTTAATCTAACACTTCTGTATTTTGAAGAAATAATCCTTTTAGCAATGCATGCATTGTTTGATCAATTAAGTCTATAATGCAACTGCCTGAACTCAGATTTTCTCTCACTCAAAATATGGCAGCAGTAGTGATTAATCATCTCTGTGAGATATTTCCTGAGAATGTGAGATTTGATCTGACTCACAAACACAACTGAGTCTAAGTCAGTAATCAACAAGTTCCCAGGAATCACTGACAACTGCTCACAAATGCATCACTTACACAAGGTACGTGCTCCAACCTGCTCAGTGACTTTTTCTTTGCCTGTAGGCCTAATCGCACAGTTTAGGAAGCCCATAATGAGCTGCTTGCTGAACTTACTCATGTAGGCAATACAATAACAATTTAAATTGACATCAGCATAAGGGTTAGCTCTTGATACCATTGTTTGTAATAGTGTAATAAAACAACCTATTGTTGTTGAGTTTTTATTGTCTGCAGTGTTTATTATTGTGTCTTATTTAACATAATTTGACCCTTGGCATCACCTATTTGATTATCAAATTAATGTATGTCTAATAAATGAAACCCAGGGTTTGTGTCTTTGAAATGACTTTCCATTTTGTATGTATAACTCATAGCCTATTGTGGAATAGTTTAACCTGTTTTAAAATCAGCAGTGTTGTGTGTTTGTTCTGTTGGAGGCAGGGGACTTCTGGTGATAGGAGTGATGCTGCTTGCAGTGAAACTCACTGTCTCACCATGCATAGGTGAGGGAAATTATCAGCTTTTTCACAGTCCAAGAGGTTTAACTTGGGGAAAGGAATCGGATTTCCTTTTTGTAGTCTGCCGGAACTTGATTCAATTGTGTATCCATACTCACGCTGTAGACACTGATTTTACCTTACTTTACTTCATTAGATCGATTTAAAAATCCCAACCAACGCATGTAGTTATTATGGTGGGTAAATCTACGCGGGGACACGTAAATGTGATATGAATAAAAGATGTATCAGGTTTTTGTTTCTATTTTATTCGAACGCACGGCAGGATATGTAACCACTGGAGGTGTTCTCCGGTCTATATAGACCCGCCGCCATCTTACATTTTCCAGTCTCTGCTGTTCCGGCCAAGTCATTATTGACTGACTGCGGAGGGAGTGGACGAGGGCTCCCCGCTGACGCTCGCCTTCACATTTTCCTTGACTTTTTCCCCTTCTGAGTGGTTTTTACCCCCCGGGATCCGAGTGGACGGACTTGCTGTGTTGACAAGGGTAGGCTCCAACATTCAAACTATCGGCTCCACTCAGTTTCTCCCAATTTTCCTGTCGGGCTCTCCCTGAATGCCAGCAGGAATGGAGACGGTTGTTGTGTACGGGCCGGCCGGGATGCTGCTGCCGCAGCTAGCGAGCCAGCTGAATTCACGGCAGATATTTGGGATATGCCAGCCACCGCCTAATGGGGACGTACCTATTTTACAGATGAGAATCACTGACTTTATGGTAACGTTAGCACGGGGTCGATGTCTGGTAAGGCAGTAGTTAACAATTAGGTAGATGTGTCCGATGGATTTCATCGCCTTCTAGTTTATTCGGAAACGTTATTCGGGATTTGGGAGTAAACGCCGATGTTGTGCCCTCGCTTTTTTGAGTAGTTAACGTTAGCGGACGATGGCTAAGGTTAGTTAGCTAAACTACTATTAGCCCACTTATGCTGCTGGCCACATTCCACTATTCTGACTCATGTTTGCTCGACTTGAGTTTCGCTTTTCTGTCGGCTGTTTTTGCAGCTGGTTTAGCTGAACAGACCCTTAATATGGGGTGAAGATAAGCGCGTGTGAAGCTCGGTGTAGCGTGGCCATGTGTTTAGTTTTACATGTTTAAAACTTAAGTTAGCGGCCGTTAATTAACGTTAGCCAAGTCACGGGAAACTGGCGAAGGAGGTTAACGCGAACAATTCGCCGAAAGTTTAGCTGGAAGTTCGTAAAACTGAACACCATTAGAAACTTTAATGTTAAATGGAGCTCGCTGCTAGCAGAGTCGCTCTAAACAAAAATTAATGGTTTATATTTAAGTTTATTTTAGGTCAAAAGCCCGTGAGAGTGTGTTTTCCTCTCGTCCTTTTAAACAAAGACCGACAAATTCCTCCCAGCCGTTGTGCTTTGGGAGGAAGACGAGGAGGAGCCAGAGTGTGAAATTTGAGTCAGTGGTGTTGGAAAGTCAGGGGCACCAGCAGCTGTGAGGGAGAGGGGTACCGCACACTATTATTTGGACGGTTAGTAAGTGTTGATCTGTTTTTATTAAATGTTATATTGGGTGTTTACTATTCCGCCTGGTCCCTGTGCACTGCCTGTGTGTGTGTGTGTGTGTGTGTGTGTGTGTGTGTGGCTGCTGGAGAGAGACAGGCGGGTCACGACGGGGTAAGTTGGATACCTCGCTGCTCTTCGCCATCCTGCCGATACTGAAAACAAGCGGTGTGATGGCTTCAGCTGAAAAAACTGTTGTGTGTGTGTGCGCTTTAGTGGCACAAGACGAAGTTGTGGTGGTGGTGAGATTTTTTTTGCACGCAGTTGATTATGTCTTAGTTTTATTGGTAAGAAGAAGATTGAGTGAATAAACTGGGTGGAGGATGTTTACGTCTCATCTAGCGGCTTCAATTTATTAGTCACGGAAGCTCTGCAACTAAACCGGTTTATTTTAAATAATAAGATCACAAGATCAGAGTCGAGTTTTGCACATTACTAAACTAAAACCACCAGTCTCTGGTGTTTTCATGCCCCAGAAATCAACGCATTGTCTTTGGCGTTTGGTTTGTTTAAAAATGGGTTCAAATTCATTCATTTTGTTTGTCTGTCTGTGGTGCCTGAGTGAAATCCCCGATCAGATTACACAATGGAAGAAAAACACAGACAACCTCGTCAACAAAATCTCGCATTTACATTTTTTGAAAGGAGGCGTAGGTGTGAGCTACATCTGAGACCGGTAGTGGTTTGTTTTGAGGTAATCCACTTGTAAGAAAACTGCTACCAAGAACCTTTCCAGTGGCGTTGCCATTACCTAATACTGTAATTTTTCTCTTTCCAATAACCCATCTGCGTGTCTGCATTTACATGGTAATTTTTACACAACTTGTAGATCTGGGTAGATTTTGAAATGTGTAAACTT